TGACGGATGCGTTGATCAATTGGTTCATTCATTCACCCATTCAATATTTTTGAGCCCCTGCAGAGAGTGCCTTCCATCCCCACCCTACCGGGCTAGATACAGAATGTGATAAAAGAGTGAAAGATGCACCACAGAGTGTAACGAACATGCTGGGAAAAAATAGGCCAGTGGTGTGTTGCATGTTAAATAAGGGCCCAGTCCAGGTCCCCCACTAAGGAGGGGACACCTGAGCACAGGTCCATCCTCTCCTTTTCTATGAATGTGCGGGTTTCTTGATGGCAATTGTCCCCTCTCTCATTTTCTTCCTTGTTGGGAGTTGATGCTTCTCCCTTAATGGTTGACAGATTGGGCTTCCAGGAGGGGTATAAGGCCTACACTGCCCCATCTCCCACTGGTCATCCCTTCCTAGTTTCTGAAGATGCATCTGGGCCTCGAATGCCCTGATGTGGCAGCCAGACTCGTGTAAACCACCTTCCTGGATAGGTGGGAGGAAGGGGCTCCCCCCGCCCCACAACAGGGAGGCCCACTGGAGCACAGGACGTGGGATGGAGAGTGCATGAATTCTGGGCAATTCACTGCACCTCCAATTCCTTCTGTCCCCTTCCCTTGTTAGAGCATCAGGGACACCCAGACAGCATCCTAGGCCTACCTTTCTGTAATTGTCATGGTTGGGAGCTGGGTTTGGGGTGCTGTAGATTGTGGCAGAAGGCAATGCAAACTTCACAGCATCTGGTTGGGAACCTTTGAGAACTCTCTGTGGAGGAGACTGGGAACAGCTGTGGTCACAGCCCTCTTTTCCTCTGACCCAGAGCCCAGCTCCACGTGGTGCTGGAAAGAAGGAAACCCATATCCAACCAGGGGCTGTCCCCTCCCTCTCTGTTCATCCCCAGAGTAAGCCGAGAGGCTGATTCCTGCCCCTACCTTACAAAAGAGAAAACTGGGGCTCATTGTATCAGAATGTTTATTGCAGCCCAATTCATAATTGCCAGGTCATGGAAGAAGCCCAAGTGCCCATCAATCCACAAAGGATCAATAAACTGTGGTATATGTACACCATGGAATACTATGCAGCCATAAAGAAAGATGGAGACTTTACCTCCTTCATGTTTACATGGATGGAGCTG